TCGAAAGTTAGATGGGTGTCGACACTTACGGTAAAGCGCTTTCTAAAATAATTTTCAGGTGTGTAATCCCTACTTCTAGCTAGGATACTTAAGAGCAACTATCAAAAATATAGCTATCCAAGAACCGGCACTACAGAGGAAATAAGAAGTGCTCACGGGGCTAAACAGTTTAATTTAGAGCCAGTACTAACATTTTTTCCAGGCCCTAAGTTATATGCGCTATTACGCACCACTACGAGAGGGGCCAGAGCAAAAGAAGGAACGCCACTGCTTGCGTCGGTCACAAGAGATTTTTGTGAAGCGAAAGATTTAGGTTTATCTTGCAATGATCATTACCCTTACATTGCGCTAAATAACGCACCTTTGGCGGCAGCGCACACTCTCCTCATTAACTGCGTGTCTATGAAGACACATGATCGGTAGAGTAAAAATAAAAGTGCACAAAATTTTTCAAATGAGTATGAACTGTTTTATGCGTGTTCTAGATAATGTGTGTGTGTGTGCGCGTGCGTATAAGTTAATAAAAATTACCTCTTTAAATTGTACCTCTGATGGTGAATCAATTTGTGCTCCTACAGATCGACCACACGTCTGATAGCGCACAATCTTTCACTTTTTCGTTCAGAAAATACCTTACAGGTGAATCTCCAAGCACTTTCAAGCACAATACAATACTTAAACCAGCGCCTCTCATGGTGCGAAAGGCATAATAAAGATCTTAAGCAAGCAAAACTTGCCGCAAATGCTATATTTTTTTAACGGGAGACTATAGTGGCAATTTATTCACCGCCTCGCGTTCACCCGCTGGCTCGACCAAAACGAGTGACGTCCCGGTGGCAGTTAAAAGGCTGGAAAATATTTTTTGGGGGGTGGCATTGAATAATATTTCCCGGCATTACGTGCCTTTATGTAACAATTCGTGACGCCAGCAAGTTGTTCACGTGATGTTAGGCAGAATTGGGCTCTCAAATGGTCCTTATGCAAGAAACATCTGTTGTAACTGTCTCCTACCATGCTTTGCCTGCCCCGCCATAGTGGTCTAGTGGCTAAGGTACTCGGCTGCTGACCCGCAGGTCGCAGGATCAAATCCCGGCTGTGGCGGCTGCATTTCCGATGGAGGCGGAAATGTTGTAGGCCCGTGTACTCAGATTTGGGTGCACGTTAAAGAACCCCAGGTGGTCAAAATTTTCGGAGCCCTCCACTGCGGTGTCTCTCATAATCATATGGTGGTTTTGGGACGTTAAACTCCACAAATCAATCAATTACCGTGCTTTGCCATGCATTCACATGCCTATTCGTTTTTGCCACGCAATACTATCATGCACGATGATGTGATTTCACTTCAATTTTCAAGTTTGCAAGTACGCAAGTGGAAATAGCAGTGCGTAGACAAGAAGTGTCACAGCCTGACTGGCACCACGCTCAGTGCAAACAATCCACGTGATTTATGAAGAAATCAATGGCGATTACGACATAGCCCTCGTAGAAAGGGTAGTGAATGCGATAAAAAAAAACTACTGTCTTGCACTTTGAAATCGGTGAGGTTAACGGCAATTTAACGGAGGACTAAACTACAATAATCAAGCAAGAAAAGTGCAAGAGACAGCAAGTAAAATAAAGAAAGTACTCTAACACTGCAAAAAGTAAGATCCTAAGGCTTGCTAACGGGCGTAAAACGACTCAAAGTGCACGGGGTGGACGAGTTCTGGTGGCGAATGGCACCATCGATAGTTTGTATAACCTCGTAGTCTAGAACTCCGATACGCCGACACCTCCTTGTGTGGCCAAAAGTATCGCGGATGAGCTTCTCGCGAAGTCCCCGACGTACTTGAGGCGGCAGTGCCGACTATCCAGTTTTGTAAACATTACACATGTACTCCTGTAATACAGCCGTAACGTCCCGTTAACGTCAACTGTAGTTAAGTGCCATGCAATGAAGTCACTTGATGTATATAGCAGTGTAGCAATGTTCAGTGTTCATCCAGGGTCTATTTAAATAGGTCTCGAAGGCTCAGGTGAAAAGTGGTTCAGAAGGTATTGCCATCGACATCAGCGTGGGGAGTTATGGAAGCTGCGACTGCAGCGCAACTATGTGTGGAGGGAACAAACACTAATAGTAAAAAAAAACAAAACAAAGCTTGATTCGAAGTCGGAGAATAGATTTTACGAATGAGATTTCTTTTCCCCAACAATATTATCTACGTGTAACAATCAAAGAAGTTCTGACGGTGTTTGTAATTGAGAAAAATCTTTTTTTTTTGGCGCCATCGGCCCACGCTATTATTACTCGGTGCAACCCTTGCATTTCATGAGTATTCATGACAAGGGCAGCTCGCAAAATTCGTCTCCGAAGATGCCCCGCCTCGTACAGTACTCTGCGCCTGCTTGCATTCTCTGTTGTGCACGAAATTGTTAGTTGCGTTTGATCGTTGGTGTGCGTGTTCAGTGCAGCGTCTAACGGGCCGCGGAGCGATGCGAATTACATTTAAAGTCGAGTTTTTCCGTTGGTAGTCCATCTCCACTCGTTCTCCGGGCAGATATGGGTGCACGTTAAAGAACCCAGGTGGTCGAAACTTCCGGAGCCCTCCACTACAACGACTCTCATAATCATGAGTGGTTTTGGAACGTTAAACCCCACATATCAATCAATCGTTCGCCGGGCGCGCTGAGCCACTTAGATATTTTAAGTGCGAATGCACTTTATAAGCGAGCCTTACTCCTCCGTCTGCGGTGTGCCTCTTCCTCTCCCCTAGCAACGGCGCGAGGAGTGGAGAGGGGCGTCTGTAGCAATGACGCAGCGACGTCACACACCACGTGATTGCGCGCGTTCCGCCCGCGCAGCCACGACTTGCTCGAGATCGGCAAGTCGTCATAGGTATGGATCCATCACAGGCATCAACCTCGACTGTGATACATTCAACAACGAGTGCAACGCAATCGAATGTGAGCATAGCAAACGTCGTTGAAAATTTCGCACCGGTTGAAGACAAGGCAGCCCGGCGAAGGGCCCGTGATGCCGAGCGCAAGAGGGTGAAGCGGGCTGAGGACATAAACATCATTATAGGGCGAATTCACTCTCACATATACGCGTAAACTCACCAAGATTTCCCGAGAGGGTCTAACGGTTCCTGGCAATCGCAATGTGATCCCACGGGGGAGTTTACGTTAATTCACTGGCGAAGGCGAATGCCAACGGATTTTAACTTTACTCCCCCTCATAGCATAACCCCGTGCATTCGAACTTTACCATGTTCTTCCTCGGGGAAATGCTTGGGAGTTTTTCTCTATTTTGACGTTCGTGCCATTGGCATGTGGGTGTGACGTAGTGCACAATGATGCATGCGTGCTTAGCCGGCTGAGAGCCCCACCCTTCTGTCATATATCTAACCACTACCTCATAAACACTAATGGAGTCTAACAGCCTAAAACCCCCATACGAATATAAGAGACGTCGTAGTGAAGGGCTCTCAAAATTTCGACCACCTGGAGTTCTTTAACGCGCTCTTAAATTTAAGCACGCGGACATTGAGGATTTTCGTCTCCATCGAAAATACCACCGCCATGGCCGGTATCGATCCCGTGACCTGCGGGTCAGCAGCTCAGTGCCTTAGCCAGTAGAGCACCGCGGCGGGTCTAGGCACCACCTTAAGCGTTCTTCTTTGATGCACCACACCCACAGCTTCGCTTCAGGACCTCTTCTGAAAAAGTGCTGGTTGGATTTGGGAAGACAGACATCACGCCAGCTTCGAGGCCTTGCGTGAAGCAATTGCAAAGGCTCCCGTATTAGTGTACAACCAGAATAAGAAAAAAACAACAATCACCTCTATTTGCTGCCAGCCAATATTTAACTGTTGCCGTGATTATTGGAAATGGCACCCGTCGGCTTACTCATCCCGTTCTCTGATAAAGACGCCACAGATATACGCTCAAGTTAAGAAAGAAATACTTCTCATGGCTATTTTGTGTGCCCCACAATTGAATCCTAGGTATCATACGGCCGTGGCTTTTCACTGCGAGACTCCTGAGATGAATGGCGAGTTAACTGTCAGCGAGTTAACCATCATGGCAGGCCAAGCTGCACTCGTGTAAGAATCGTCGCTATCACTGCCTGTTGCATTATTAGGAAAAGACGTAGCAAATAACACGTTGCTTCAGGGCCGCATGGGTGTACTGAGATTCTGATCCTTCTTTCGGTAATAGGTTTTAGGGTGTTTAAGTTTCATTATTTAGATCGTTCTCATTTGATTTTACCTCGTAGGTTTTATATTGTTCCCTATTGCCCACTCCCAGTGCTAGATAGCGAACCGGATGCTCATATATGGTTAACCTCCCGACCTTCATCTTCAGATACACACACACACACACACACACACACACACACACACACAAACACACACACACACACACACACATTTCCTTTCTGTTCACTTGTGTCAAAAAAATAATCAGTTGTACGTCAGTGTTTGGTCGCGTCTGTGTGCTTTTTTTTACTGTTGCACTCTTCACCAGCAAAGCTACCTCACAAACAAGGCCAAGCATCCTCTCTACTCTTGCGCAGTTCAAAGGTTCCGTAGGGTGAGGAGTTACCTAATGTCATGGAGACAAAATGAAATCTTGCCCACAACTATTCGGCATTTTGGTCAATATATTAAAGCTTCTTCACTGCATTGATGTTGCGAGATCTTGTTGAATGTAGGTAGAGTTCACAGTAGCTAGCCTAGGAGGAAAGAAGAGGCCAGCTGCTATAAGCCCATATTACACTGATGGCAAGGTTTTGTGCAGGAAAAAAAACGTCTAAATTAGCTTAGCCAACAAGTTATAAACTCTATCTCCATGCCATTTTCGCACTAATGTAATGAGAAGCTGCCATGGTTAACCCGATATCACTTAGCTGTGGTTGCCAGAAATCTCGCAAGCTCTTGTGAGAAAGGTCAGCCCACCCCACTAGAAAGAAGGGGCTCCACAGGCGCACTTCATCTAGAAAAGTAATAGAAGACAACTGGTATTGTAATAGCATTAGCTGTTTATTGTACCCTTTTTGTTTTCTTTAAACCGTGTAGCTATTTTCCTAAGATCCTTCGCATCGGACGAAACATCCAGGGAACTGGAAGAGTGACGTCAAGGCAGCCTCCAATCATCGGCATATAGCGGAAAGGATGGCACTTGCAACCAGTGCCGCAGTTGGTAGCGTTGTCACTTCTGGGTCGGCACTGAGAGAGAAAGGAAAAACGTTTTGTTTTGGCAAGTCTAGTTGCAGGACGCCTCGTATTTTCTTGTAATATGCGTTGGGTTTATTGGGGAAGCTATTAGCCGAACAGTGAAGACAGCTATCCGCCGGAGAAAACCACGGCGATAGCATTCGCCACAGCTGTACCCCACACGACCTCGTCGGGCCTCGCTACAGTGACGCCACACCAAGTCGCGCATGCGCCGAAGCCCCACCGCCGCCAAGTTGACAGAGGAGCAGCGGCGCCTGGCCTGTTTACCGCGGCCGCTGAGGGGCAGTGATATTCCGTGCGGGAAACTTTCCCTTTTTCGAAGAATTCTTGCCTGTAATTTTAAGCCAATGTGGGAAAGGGAATCTTTGTGATATTGCCGGCAATTTCAGGAATGATTATATTCTCCTACAACGACCGATAATTAGCAGTCACGGTGGGCCTTCGTCAGCTCTAATCGGTTCTGGCGCATGCACTACGTACGCACAGCCTTTGAGATTCGTTTCCGGTATTTACGCGGAGCGATTTCTAGTTCACTATAAAGTGGTGTTAGACTTGAAGCCCCCAATGTGGAGTGTTCTGACAGTATAGGATTCATTAGGTTATGCTTTTGTTCTGCGGCAGTGGACAGGCTAGCCATGGTTTCTAAAGTTGCAAGTGCGTGAGTCACTTGTAATTATTATATGTGTGTGCATGGATGGGGGTGGAAATCAGTACTGTGGGGCTGGGATTTCGGCTGGAAATTTTCTGAACGTTTGCATGAAACATTGCCCAAAATAGGGAATTTTCATGCCCCTGAATGGCAATTCTTCTACGTCGTACGGAACATCACTGCTGCGGTAGCATCAAGTGAAGCCGCGCATGCAGCGCGCAGCAGCTCTGTGAAGATCACAACGTTCTTAATGTCGGTTTCACCTAGCAACCGTTTATAAAATAAAGAAGCCTTCTCTGGCCGTGAAATACTTGAAACAATGGAGCTGTTTGATCTGACGGTCATCGTAACCATTGAAGGAAAGCTTATTTTAAACAGAGCTCGTACTTCACCCCAACCTGTGTTGGTCCAAGCCAAGTTTGACCCTAGCAACAGCAATTGCCAAGTTCGAGCCGAGCATCAATATAGGACCATTGAAGTTCAAACCTAGCATCTGCCAAGCTCTAATCTAGGACCAATAAAAGAACGCCACTTGATCGACCAGCTTCACTTTCCGGGTTTCTCGCGACACGTGCAAGCTCCTCCACCTTGTTTTTATCTTAAATAGCAGCTGTGGCAAGCAAGATGCACTACAGTTGAGCCAATAGCCATGCGTCATATTTTTTATTTATTCCACACTTATTATTCACGATTTATTTATGTATTTCATCATATGTTTTAACAAAAATGAGAAAGAGATGACGTGTGTTTTTTTCACGAAGACCACCCTCATGTTAAATGAGGGCAGCCGCTGCAGAGCGAGATTTGCAGGACCTTATTTTTTATGTGTGTCTAAATTCAGAGCACGCGGAACCTAGTGCAAAATATTACTGAAAACACTTCTAATTAATGTGTGGCTCAATGAGCGCCAACAAATTGATCACGATACAAAACTATTTACAGCAAGATTTCGGTCCAAGTGCCCTGTCAAGTTGGGCCAATACCGGTCACTATAACTGGATTAAAAAAGCAAATCAAAGCCGTATAATTTAAGCCACAAGAAAGTAAATACTATGCGTACTATATATGGATCTACCATTAGTAAAAAGCAACGCGCTCATGGTGCCCTATGATACTTGTGCAAACATTTTTTTTTTGTAAATGCAGCCCTTTATGTATTTGAATTAAATTCAGCGTGCTAAGGAATACGCACTGGAAAACTTATTTTTTTTTTGTCGTGTCAGTGAATGCAAGCCAATGTGCATGTTGTGGGGCTGACAAAGTGGGTATTCCCTTTCTAAGTACGTAAAGTAGGGCTAGAGATAGTATAGGCAAACCTTAGAAAACAAAAATGGTAGCACTGATATCATCGATGCAGATGAAGCAGCCCCCTCTGCTTCTTATTTTATGATTTAACGTTGTTGTTGAGCACAAACACTTGCCTAGCGGATCGTGAGGTTGACACCGCGGCACCAATTCAATCTACACGCGTCTGCATAGTGCTTTACTGCAGAAGTTACCACTCAAATGATGGCTTACCATTACTGTGTTGACTGTCGCATAATCTTACCAATCGCTGTTTTGTGTTTTTTGTTTTAATTGTTGAGGTTCTAACGTCCTGAGATCACTATAAGCTCATGAGAGACGCCATTGCGGAAGGCTTCAAAAATTTCAACCATCTGGCGTTTTTAACGTGCTCCTTAGTCTAAGCACCCAGGCGTCAAGCATTTTCGCTTCCTCTGAAAACATGGCCGCCACTGTTGTTTTCTCTCTCTCTCTCTCTCTCTCTTTGCTTACAGGCGTATAAGCACAAGCCAGCGAAAAAAAGCCTGTAGCAAACACAGACTAAAATATCACGGAACCTTTGAGGAAACAAGATGATTGAATCAGTAGAAACGAACAAGAACACGTCAATCACAATATTTGTTAAAAAAAAGACTGACTGATTGTGCACGAACGACAGGGGGGCCACAAACAGCTGATTCTACATGCCGGCCCATGATTTTCACCCATTGTGAGATATTTCGGATTTATTCGTATGTCTTTTCAGCACACACTGCGTTTGGCAGTAAGTTAAAGAAATAGTGGCAATTATAAGTTCATGACATGAGGTGCCCTTCCGCGGACCCAAGAACGAAGCTAGCTGTTCTTCCTGAACAGCGCTTAGACACTAAGCGTGATGATTTCCGCGTAATTAAAAAACTATTGGATGCTCTGTCGACAACTCAGTTTACTCTAATGCGAAAAAGATAAGCCGGTGATCTTTATCACGTTCGCATAAAAGCTCTGTGGTAATGCTGCTGTTATTATGTGAGAAAGACAAAACTGCAGTACAAAAGGCCTCCTTGGTACCTTTGGTGCCGAAGGGAGGATTATGCCGGTATTGCAAAGGCACATAGTCTATACGAATGCTATAGCTAGTAGCACAAAAACAACTTTATCCTCTATATTATGCAGATCGGTATCTTTCCAGAGTGTACGGAACTTCAGAATTTAAAGCATAATTTTGCTGGTACCCTGCATCGAACGGCAGTTTATTTCGATCGTGATAGATTTACATGACTCACGAAAGTGGAATCTCGGTAAAACGAGAAGGCACGCCCACACTCCTTATGTGTGGAACCACATTGCACGACAGTGCAGATGCCCCAAATTTGTAAAATATTCCTTTACTTAGCCATGCAAATTATTGACAGCTCTTGCTAGTGATATAGTAAGTTTGGGAAATTGCCTATTTGTCAAATGGTATATAAGCATATGCCATTATGATATTTTTCTACATAGCCATAGAAGGCACTTACAAATGAAAGGCACTTCTTGTGGTCCCAGATGGAGCCCCTGCGTAAAATAACGCATAAAGTGTCCAAGTTTATTAAGCAAGGTAAGCTTGCAAGATCACAACTAATTATTACAGGATAGTTTGTTGAATTCCATAAGGAAACTTATATCGTAATCCATGGGTCTGTCGCAGCTTCTGTGACGGTGCTTGGAATCCAGGTACGAAATATATGTTTTAAATTGGTGCTTCAAATAAGTGATCTTTCACAAATACTCCGCATGGCAATATTCCTTGCAGATCTTTTTTAATGAAAAATCTGGAGTTATTTGTGTACTTCTCCAGATTATTGTGTGCTTAGATAGAGTGACAGTCATTTGTAAAATGCCTATTTTTTGCAAATGAAACCATAGATAGCAGAAACATAGTCGAATAAAATCAGCAAGCCTAATCTTGTGTGATCAACTTTCCATGGTTGCACTGAAATATATACGTGCCACAAAATATCACCGAAAGGTCACAATTTTCTTATGCATGCAGTTTTTCTGTATAATATCTCGACACACCACATGATTTAATACTCAAATGCTTTGCAAAGCATTATATGAAACGCTTCAACTTTGCGAAAGAATTGTTACTGCTGTGCTGAAATCTATGGGAGCTATTCTACGAGAGCAAATAGGTTGAGTTGCCCCGCTGCGGTGGTCTAGTAGCTAAGGTACTCGGCTGCTGACCCGCAGGTCGCGGGATGGAATCCCGGCTGCGGCGGCTGCATTTTTGATGGCGGCGGAAATGTTGTAGGCCCGTGTGCTCATATTTGGGTGCACGTTAAAGAACCCCAGGTGGTCACAATTTCCGGAGCCCTCCACTACAGCCTTTCTCATAATCATATGGTGGTTTTGGGACGTTAAACTCCACATATCAATGAATTAGATTGAGTTGGTAAAAATTTGATGATATGAGAAAGAATATAGATTTTTTGCGAAAAAAATGTAGTATTATGTAAGCTGCAGGTAGAACTAACATTATTTATGACACACAGCCGCAACAATATTGACAGAAAACAGAGATACATATGTAAACGCCACGTAACAAACAGGAACCTCAAAGGCAAATCAGAGCACAGAGTGCCGTGAGAGATGCTCCTGAATATCTTAATTTAGGTATCACGAAGGTTAACATGATGATCGCTGCAGCCCTTCATATGTCGATCAGCTCAACATATGCAACTCCGTATTTATTGTAAAAGCACAAAAGCATGGTCGTTGAGCTTGTGAGCGGCTATCACAATTCGTTTAAAACATTTGCCTCGGTGTTTCTTGAATGCTTATTCAATATATATATATATATATATATATATATATATATATATATATATATATATATATATATATATATATATATATGTGAAGAACCACACGAGAACGGTGTGGTGGAATGGTAGAGAAGGAAGAAGACGAAGACAAATAAATGGTTCATCGAACAGCCATCACGCCTCCTGCGTCACTCTAGTCGACAGGATCTACCGTGGCCTTCATCATGGCCACATCCAAGAAAGTCATCAACATCCCGAAGTACTCGGGAGCATCTACGGACGTTCCCTTTGACAAGTGGCTCCGACTCTTTGAGGTGAGGACTGCGGCCGCAGCATGGACGGAGCGAGACAAGCTGTGCTACTTCTCCGATTACCTTGAAGGTGAGGCTTTCCGATGGTTTCTCACCGAGGTTTTAGACACAGACGCGTCTTGGAGAGCTTATGTGAATGCATGAAGGGACGCTTTACGAGCGGCGTCGCGGATCCTTTTCGCCAATTCATTCATTGCCGGTTGCGAACAGGCCAGAGCTTGCAGGAATACTATAATGAAAAAATGTCTCTCGGACGCCTCGCCGACTTAAAGGACACGCACCTTATATCAGGGCTCATCGACGGCCTTCCTGCGCATATGGAGATGGCGCTTGCTGGGCTTACCTCGTCTACACCAGAGGCATGGCTTACAGCTGCACTTCGTGTAGAGTCAACCATGCAGAGAATGAAGTTGCATTGCTTTCCACCAGCTCGAAATACACAGATTAATGTAACAAGTGACAGAACTAGTCAGCGTCCACGTAATTACCCAGTACAAACACCCGTGCGTGAGTGCAAACACTGCGCGATGGATGGCTTACCCCGACAGATGCACTGGCATAATGAATGTCCACGACGCGCAAGCATTTCCGCCCTCTCCACCAACCAGGGAAACGAGGAGGGCGACCCAGAGTTCATGTAATTCAGTTTGATGCCCTCATTAACGGGTACCCTGTCAGCGCTACACTTGATACCGTAGCTACGATTACCTGTATCAACGAAGCAGTGCTGAAGGCACTTCACCTGCGAATAATGAGGAATTCATGCATCTCAGTTCAACAAGTCACATCATCTACCAAAACTTTGGGTCGCGTTAATCTAAAGGTACAGATAGGAAAAGTGACAAGAGAAATTCAGGCTCATGCTCTACAAGGCATGAAGAGCAACTTACTTCTTGGCTTGGATAGTGCTTGCATCTTTGACTTGTCGCTGGACCTTGACACTATGACTCTACGCCAAGGGAAAGACATCCTCCATTCTCGTACACAGAACCAAACCATGGTTAACAAGGGCGCGTCTTTGCAAGGTGTTGAAGTTTGTGATGTACTACATCTAAATAAAACGCAACAATTGGCATTGAAGCAGCTTATCCACAAGTACGATGACATTTTTTCCAAGTCACAGACAGACATTGGGTGCATCAACGGCGAAATGCATCGCATTCATCTCATCAACAATGTTCACATTCGTAGAGCTCCCTATCGATGCTCAGAAACTGACAGCGTTGAAATGGACAGACAGATCAACGAGCTTCTCAAGCAAGGTGTCATACGACTATCTACCTCCCCATACGCTGCGCCAGCACTTCTGGCAGAGAAAAAAGGGGAAGGACGCACGCGCTTCTGCATCGACTACCGCAAGCTGAACGAATTGACGGTGCCTGATTATCAGCCCATTCCTCGCATCGATGACGTTCTCGATTTTCTGGGGAAATCTACGTACTTCTCGACATTATACATAACGTCAGGTTACTGGCACGTGAAGATTCACCCTGATGACATTCCGAAAACGGCGTTTGTCACACGTACCGGTCACTACGAGTGGCTCGTCATGCCTTTGGCCTTCGGAATGCTCCGGCCACCTTCGAACGGGCTGTCAAATTCGTATTGGCAAAACACCGTTTGCAGAACGTCACGAATTACTTCGATGACATTGTTGTCTACTCTGACACGTTTCCAGACCATCTGAGGCATCTAGAGGGCGTTTTGAAAGCTTTCAAAAGCGAAGGCGTCAAGCTTAAGTTAAAGAAATGTCAATTCGCTCGAACCTCCATTGAGTACCTGGGACACAAGGTTTCGCATGGCACCGTCACTCCAAAGCAAAGCAACGTGGACGCAATCCTACGGTTTCCGACACCATCACGCCCTAAAGAGTTGCCGCGTTTTCTCGGCACTGTCAATGTTTACCGACGATACATCGATCACTTCAGTCAAATCGCTCACCCACTGACGCGCCTGCTCAGTAAAGACGTCACCTGGAACTGGGATGCGGAGTGTGAACTGGCTTTCACTCAGCTCAAGAAATGCGTGACGGAAGAGCCAACCTTAACATCTACGATGCCACTAAGCCTTGTGTGCTATACTGCGATGCATCCAACAGAGGTATCGGCGCCGTCTTGAAGCAGGCTGATGATGAAGGTAGAGAGCACCCAATCGCATACCATTCACGGAAGTTACTAAAACACGAAATTAATTACGCCATCACAGAACTCGAATGTTTGGCAATTATTGACGCCATCGATAAATGGCACTGCTATCTACACGGGAAACCTTTCACTGTGATCACAGATCACGCAGCGTTGCAATGGCTTAAAAGCATCAAGAATCCCCGAGGCCAACTTTTCCGGTGGTTCTTGAAACTCTCCATGTACGACGTGAACATCAAACACCAAAAGGGCATTGACAACATTGAAGATGATGCACTATCTCGAAGCCCGGTAGTTAAACTCCTCCTATCTGCTGAGCAACTGCGAGAGCATGACAACGACAAACCACCCGGAAAGCATACCATTGAGAACGGACTGAGTATAGTGACACGCTGGGGAATACGAAAAGTCTATGTGCCTTTTGCCCTCCAGTCTTCTTTTCTCCAAAAAGCTCATGACGCTTTCGGTCATGTCGGGGTAAAGAAGACGCTGCGGCTTCTCTCTCTACAGTACTATTGGCCCGACATCATCACCGACGTGAGCGAGTACATACGCCACTGCGATACCTGCCAGCGCTGCAAGAGACCGAAGAACAAACGATTTGGTTCGTTGGAGTCTTTGCCACCAGCGGAACAACCGTTTGATCTTCTGGCCATGGACACTATCGGAGATTTCGGCAACTACGGCTCATCCAAAAGATTCATTCACTTAGCCGTTGATCATGCCACCCGTAATGTCGGGGCTTTCGCACACAAAAATGAGACTTGCGACGCATACATCTCTTGCCTGAAGAGTATCTTCGCTGCTGGAAAGCCGCGGAAGTTCCTTTCCAACAGCGGCACAGGATTCACTGCCGGCAAATTCAAGCAGTTCCTCAAGCACAACAATATTCATCAGCTTTTAACAAGCTCACAGCGCCCGCAGTGTAATGGCCTAAACGAGCGCACTAATCAGACGATCGTTACTCGCCTCCGATGCAAGATCAACGATGAACCCCGAAAATCGTGGCCGCGTCTCCTCTCGGACGTTGTCGACGAGTACAATAGAACGCCTCACGAAGTCACAGGCTACCCACCCTGCTTTCTTATGTATGGCACACCATCGTATCCCTATCTTCTTCCAGGCGTTACCGAAAATCTGCAGGAAGCTCGTACAAACGCAGTCCGCAATTCAGTAGCATATCACGAGAAAAACAAGATCATATATGACAAGAAGTTCCTTCCATTAGAGCTTCAAGTGGGAGACTTTGTTCTATATGAAACACTCTGGCACCCGAGCCGCGGCAAACTCAGCGCAATCATGGAAGGACCCTATACTATCATACGCAAGATTTCATCAGTTAACTACGAGATCGACCGCAGCGTGGCTCCACTCGGTCGCCAGACTGACATCGTTCATGTCGGGAGACTTAAACGATATCATCCGCCCCTGCACCTACGTCTCTCTCGGGGGAGGGGGGAAGCGTGTGACGAACCACACGAGAACGGAGTGGTGGTTGGTAGAGAAGGAAGAAGACGAAGACAAATAAATGGTTCATCGAACAGCCATCACGCCTCCTGCGTCACATATATATATATATATATATATATATATATATATATATATATATATATATATATATGTGTGTGTGTGTGTGTGTGTGTGTGTGTGTGTGTGTGTGTGTGTGTGTGTGTGTGTGTGTGTGTGTGTGTGTGTGTGTGTATGTGTGTGTGTGTGTGAGAGAGAGAGAGAGATTGATTGATTGATTGACTGATATGTGGGGTTTAACGTCCCAAAACCACCGTATGATTATGAGAGACGCCGAGAGAGAGAGAAAGAGACGCCTGTACTGTAGCTTACGTAAAAAGTAAGTAGTGAACAATTGCGGGAGAACAGCGTAAAGTAATTTAGCAATATCGAGAACGAAAGAAAGCATTACAGTTGCCGCTATTAATGCATGATTCAGTGATGAAGAAAAAACGCGTGCAAGAGGACAGCCTTTGACACGCGTTGTTTCCTTTTTAATAAACAGGGTGGTGGGATACCACACTCAAAGTGTTGTGATGCTGCCTTTGAGTATTCGATGTTAAGCCAGGTAATAAGAAATGGTATAGACATAAAATAATTTAGGTTTATTTAAGCGGACCTCTTCATGCCAGGGGAATGAACAGTTTTTGCGATGACCGTCAGATGTGGCAATGAGATGTACCATCACGATTTCCATCAATGGGGTTCAGATATTCAGCAATACAGACATTTCCTTTTTATATTGGGCCTTTAAATTGAGGCACAGGTGCCATATTTGGGAAACGAATGCTACTTCTTACGCAGATCAGGGCGCCCCGCCGTGGTGGTCTAGTGGCTAAGGTACTCGGCTACTGACCCGCAGGTCGCGGGTTCAATTCCCGGCTGCGGTGGCTGCATTTCCGATGGAGGCGGAAATGTTGTAGGCCCGTGTGCTCAGATTTGAGCGCACGTTAAAGAACCCCAGGTGGTCAAAATTTCCGAAGCCCTCCACTACGGCGTCTCTCATAGTCATATGGTGGTTTTGGGACGTTAAACGCCACAAATCAATACGCAGATCAGGGTCTGAAATTTCCTTGAAACTTCCCCAGCAGCCGTCTATAACATAACTATATTCGTCTCATATTTTTTTTATTTGCTCAAAAATGGCGTTCGTGTACTTCATTGATACGATCGCAATCAGTCATTTTTTTTTGGTGGGGAACTTCTTTCTGAATTGGTTTCAAGATATCAGTCATTTTGTAGATCAGCATTCCTCAGACAGGAGGAAAATCTACTCTTTACGTATCTCGTGTAAAATATCTGAGAAAGGCTTTCTATCAAATGTCAGCGTTGGATGACATATAGTTCAAGCTACACATCTTGACGTGTTCATGAAACAAACAAGTTGATACTATTTCTTTATCGTTGAAAACGTCTTGTAATACCCAATTTTCTAGGCACTTTATTACAATTAGCGATAAAGGGATGGGTGGGAACGAGATACTTACATAACAATCGTCATAATGCTGAAAAGCAATACCAATTGCAGTGCCTTCATTGTTCCTTCAGAGTAATCTCAGGTATGTTGAAACAGAGCCACGCATAGTCCCTTCACGATGGAGATTTCGGCTTTGCTGTTTTATACGCTTGCAGCCTGTTGTGCAGAACTTAAGAGTCAGACTTGAAACTTTTATTCGGTTCTTGAAAGCAAGCTTCTGGAAAATTTTATGGTAGCCTTTCAAACCAAGCTGCTCTATGTCAAAAAGAATGACGGCGTTTTTCAGAGATGACGTGTCCTCAAGAGCCTCTTTAGAATAGCACAAGACAGATGGCCATAGAAACCTATAAATAACGCTGCGGTGGTATTTAGCAGAGACCAGAGGGAGCAAATTTACGCAACCACGCAAAATTCAGCTTGTTACGGACAACAAGTACGACGCTACTCGAATGTCTAAATACTGTACAGTGAGTGTTGTTTTAAGTTTAAAATCATTTTTATCAGGGAGAAAACAACGTTGATGTGTTTTTTACATTTTAATTTCATAATGAAAGCACTATAAGTGTCTCTAAAATTCAAAAAGTTGCTCACAAAAAAATCAGTTTCTAGCACACGGGCAAGCGCTATGTACAGCTTATAGAGCAAAGTATTCTGTAGTAGTGCACTTTCAACACGATAGTCCTACGGCGCCTGTGTCTTTAAAATGCCTTTTCGATGTTGGCGGCGTTAGTAGGGGTGCGAAATTGCCTGACAAAAAAGGCAGTTCAAGACAAAATTCAATTCAACTGAAAGTGCCAATCAGTACACTTGGGCATTAGGGGTCTACCTGATGCCCTAATTGAAAATAGTGTTATCACGTTCACTTGATAGCAGCTCTTTTTCATAATTTTTCCCTGTCTGCTGAAATATTTTAGTCCCCAACCCTGCAAAGATTAGCATTCAAGTGATATATAGACGCCGGGAAAAAATCTGTTTTTCTAATAGCCTCTCTCTCTCTCTCTCTCTCGGATTAACTCAGGTATTCTCTAGGGCAGTCAAGTAGTCAACCTAAGATCTATGCTACTGCTTTAAAGCTGCGTCAAGAAAAAGTCCATGAGGGCATCATGTCTTGAAAGCAGATTCACTGGCAGGTGTTAATACGAAAAATCACGTAGAAAATGACACTTTGGAGCTGCCAACACATAGCAAGGATCCGAGAAAAGGCATCATTGCCATTGACAGTGACAAAATCAACAGGGTCCGCCATAGCATACGTCTACGTATGCTACATTACAGTGGAGTTTCACAGCTGTACTTCGAGTATCCCTCGATCGTATCGTACATCCTAAAATTTTGACTGCACACTTACCCTAGGAGATTCTCCAGGAATCGTGTGGTATAGAAAAAAAATCGTGTTTGGAGCCACCACTGTAACACGGACAGGTGTTCTTTCTTTCTCGGCATGGTTGGGATGTTCACAAAGAAATGAAGTGCTACAAACGAGTGAGAGAGCGGTGTGAACGGGCCTGTCTACGTCCTCACATTGCAATCTCAAACGTAATGCTTAAGCATCCTCCAAGCTTATGTGCATTTAAACAAATACTTAGGATAAGTACTTTCATTTAACACCTATTTTTGCTGTTGCGCACTCAGCTGCATCTTATTAGCAATGCTGCAGTACTGAAAGTGAGATATTTGTGGCGCCATGTAACCGTGAGCATTGTGCAGTGTTTATCTCTGCAAGGAAGGAAGAAAGGAAGAAGAATAAAAAGAAAGGTAGGAAGGTCAAGTAGATGCGCGTCTGGTTTGCTCCGCTATACGTACTTGATTTGGATATAATTCATGTAATATAAATAAACTTCCCATTGAATATGAGCTCTGAAAGAAAGAGTAAAAAGCACCTAATGAGACTCCAAGCTAACTAATCACATATATAGCAAAAATAAAGGGCACATCTCTTTCGTTTTACATAAGAAAGTTTTGTCAAGGTCAATAACTAGCTGCAAAACACATAAATCGTAAAACAATGATTTTATAACAGCTTGGTATATATCACCATTCATACGAAGAATCTATCTCATTACGTGATAGCATTAATGTTATTCAATTCCATAGCTTTTTTTATTTACATTTGCTTCCTGCAGGAGACGGCTACGAAAAAAATCTACAGTATGCTGCACTTTCAGAAAGCAGCTGCAGGACACCTAAACAAACAAATTACATTGAGGAAAAGCATTGTTCAATTTGAAAAAAACGGAATGTTTTTGTGATTTACCATTTATACTGTTTTATGCAGTGTCAAGAATATGGTAATAAGCGGACAGAATACATAACACAAAAAGATTAGTAAACTTTACCGATAAATATCAACTACCGTAGCTACAACTTTAGCGCGTGTGCTATAAAAGTGTGTTTTTTTATAACTAACGGGACATCATTGTACAATTTTCTGTAGTTTTACTGCAATGAGCGAGCGATAATATTGCAATGCTTTGGCAGAATAAGCTCATCGCTGTTGTATCTGATATTTGTGCTATGTTTAAAAAATCCGCAATAGTAAAATTCAGATGAGTTAACAGGGGAGTCATTTTTTGTTTCAATGGATGTTGTAAACACCGCTTTCAATCGTGCATTCAATATTGCATATAATGTAAGCAATTGGCGCCTTAACGGTTACATGCCATCATGAAAAAAGATATAAATCAAGCCTTGCGTTTGACTTTTTATTTCCAGTTAGTGCCGTGAATACTATCATGTGTCAACCTATTTAGACTTTTACTTTCATCGCAATGTCTCCTAAGTCGGATTACCTTAGTATACTTCTTCCATACTCGTATTTGTGACCTTTCTTCTCCTTCAATATTGCCACTAGTACAAGTTCTGAAAGTATTATTATAGATGCCGGCAGGCTTGTATGTGCCGCTGTTCAAAAGAGGACGAAGATGCGCGTGCAGAGAAAAACGATAAAGTCGTATTGCCGTTGTTCCAATCAGTTTGACGTCCTTGTGGGCCATTATCTACAGGTTACAATTACGTTGTAACGTGACAACTGGTGGAGGTGCTGGGTAATAGTCTATGCACTGTTACCACGAGGAAGATCTCATCCCCAACATCGACGCCTTGGTAGAAACAGCCAACCTTCGACGCAGTCAGTGGCAAGTAGGCCTACCACCCAATTCGGCCCTCTTCCGGAACACTCCAGAACCATGGCACATGCGACAACTGCAAGCCAGACTGAACAGACCACCAGGTCCATGGCTACCAGCTTCTCGAACGCCAAAGCTCTTCCATGGGGAGCCCTACGAAGACGTTGAAGACTGGCTGGACCAATACAATCGAGTCACCGTCGCCAACGAGTGGGACGAGCACCAGAAACTGCGGTATGTTAATTTCTACCTAGAGGATTCGGCGCGTATTTGGTTCGAGAGCCACGAGGCCACCCTGACAACCTGGCCGGTGTTTTGCACTCAGCTGCGGAACAAGTATGGTAGCGCCGACCGGAAAGAACAAGCCAAACGTCTCCTCAATTCTCGCAATCAAAGACCCAATGAAAGCGTGGCCATGTTCGTTGAGGACATGTCTCGTCTGTTCCGTCGAGCGGATTCTGCAATGACGGAAGACAAAAAGGTACGCATTCTGATGTGGGGTGTAAAAAAGCAGCTGTTTGCCGGACTTGTACGAAACCCACCAGCTATCGTGGCAGAATTCCTCCGTGAATTGACGACAATGGAGCGAATGCTAAGACAGTGGTCTTCGCAGTATGAGCGGTCCGACAACCTTGCATGTCTGTCAGCACCTTTGGTAACACCCAATGTCACGAGTGTGAGAGACCTTGCTGAGTTAGTCCGTAGCATTGTACGCGACGAGCTGCAAAATCTTCACGCAGTGCCTTCACAACCTCAAGTAGCTGCTCTGACAGACGTCGTCCGTGAAGAAGTGCGGCAGCTGGTACGATCATTAGTGCCACCTCCAACCGAAGCTCCTCTGCTAACGTACGCGGAAGCTATACGCACTCCTGCACCGGCAGCCAGCTATTTCCCCCGACCGACTAACTTGCAGACGCTGCAGCACTTTTCGGGCCTGCCACACCATGAAACCCAACGAGCGACTTGTCTGCAGATGCCACAGTACTTCTCGGGCCCACCACACTATGAGAATCCGCGACCTAATTTGCGGAAATCTAGCGTGTGGCGCGCTTCCGACAATCGGCCACTATGCTACCACTGTGGTGAGCCAGGTCACTTGTACCGGGAGTGCTCGCACAGACAGATGGGCCTACCTGGATTTCAGCCAGACGCTCGTCAGCCCAGGGACGGGGAACGACCTCGCGCCATCGCAGAATACTTAGCAATTAAGTCTACCGTCTCCGAATCTTCAGCGACGCCAATCACGTTCTCCGTCTCCTCGGCGCTCTACGTCCGCAAATCAATACTCTACTTTCGCCGATGTTGTTGCGGGACGATCCGCTACGTCCCCAAGTCCACGCCGGAGAAACTAGAATCAGCGGCCTCCGGGGGTGGGACCGCTGTTAGGCTATCGTCAAAACAGCCTCCTCCGACCCATCCGCCGACCTTCGACGACTCCTTTCAGCCGATACCTCGCATCGCGGAGGAGCCCGTATCTGCTGACATTGCCGTCCTTGTCGACAACCGTCCAGTGACTGCTCTGGTAAACACCGGTGCCGACTACTCAGTTATCAGTGCTAAACTTGTGGCTGAACTCAGGAAAGTCACGACTTCTTGGGGGCATGGACCAAACCTTCGGACAGCAGATGGTCATCTCTTGACACCAATCGGGAGATGCACCGCAAGGCTGCAAATCTCTGAGTAGACGTTCGTTGCTTCTTTCGTTGTGCTTCCCGAATGCTCCCGGAAAGTTATCCTTGGCATGGATTTCCTTCGTGAGCACGGCGCTGTTATAAATCTTCGAGACTGCCTCGTAACGTTTGCTGACGACTATGGCCCGAAGCCTAGAGATACCGATCCGCAGAAGACTGCGCTTGGCATTGTCGACGACACCGTCACACTTCCGCCACGCTCCAGTATGTTCGTTACTGCACAGGGTCACATAGACCATGACGGTAGTGGTATCGCTGAAGCCAACCTCTCGGTGCTCTTGTCTCAGCAGATCTGCGTTGCCCGCGGCATAATTCAATGTAAACGTGGGACGACTGAGTTGTTGGTCACCAATTTT